CAACTGAAAGTATCTCGGCTACCAGTTAACCCACGCCCACATAGGCTTCCATGCTCTGCACATGAAAACCACACCAGGCCGGACAGAGAGAGTGGCACCATGCCACCACCCTAGGAGTCAAGCTGATAGGTGGATGCCTTCTCTGTTCCAAGGCAGATGCGACGCACACAGCCGGAAGCTCCTCTCTTGGAAAGTAGGCCAGGAAGCGGAGACATAGCAACATCACCCAACCAATTACACAAACCTTTCCCAGCAAACCTCCTGGACAGCTTCACCAACACCACGCAAATGTTTTTATTCAAATCTCAACTATTCAAAAATTTATATGTTTTGAAATATAATATGGTTCTTGAAACATTAACTACATATAAATTAAAAAAAAAAAAAACACTCATGCGCCTCTGTTCCCACTTGGTTCCGTCTGGCAGTGAGGAAGGTAACTGGGGTGACTATGAGTCTCTGGACTCACTGTGGGGAGGACTACCCTGTCACTTCCACCCGACTGTCACTGGATGGGAGATGACTCCAGAGAAGGCCGGCCTCCTGCTGGCTCTGAGTGGGGACAGTCTTGGATGCTCCCAGTGTGAACCCTGAGTCTGGGAGGACCTACTCTGAACCAGCTGTAGTAACAGTCCACCTGAGGAGAAGCCAGCATCCATTTTCTGACTAATTCATTTTAGGAAATTTTCTTAAAAGACGAAAGCATTTTTCCCTCCAAACACCTTCTACTTGTCAGATGAGGCCCTGGGAGCTGGCTGGGCCAGCGGACATCACACTGTGACACCAGGGGGCTGGGCCCGGGGCTGCTAGAGAGCTGCAGCCCAGCGGAGCACCCTCATGCTCCCAGCTCTGGGAGGAGCCTGTGTTCTGGGTGCCACTTTCAGGGAAGGATCTGGGGCATTGTGCCAGGGCCTGTCACCCAGTGGCACATTGGTGACAAGTACATTCTGTCACGTGCCAGGAGACCCGTCCTGAGCACAATGGCCCAGCACTCTGCCTAGTGGGACCTGCTGCCTGGATCACTGGTGGGGTACACATGCGAGCAGGAGCCCAGCTGGCTGTCCAGAGGACCTCCTTGAAGGGCACAGCTGGAGAGCAGCCTGCCTGGCACCACGTCTGTGAGTCCCCTGTGCCCACCCTTTCTATCTGAGCTCCATTTCCCCTACCCTCTTACATCTGACAGCAGCATTTGCTACAGTTTGGACGTGGGTTAAGTGTGTCCCCCAAACCTTCCTGTGTAAAAAATCTGATCTCCATTGTGAGGTATTAATTAAGAGGGAGGAAACTTAAAGGCATTTAAAGTTGAGACCTTTGGGAAGTGATTAGAATTTGATAGGGTCATAAGGGTGGAGCCCTGATAAAGTTTGGTTGTAAAGTGTCCCCCAAAGCTCCTGTCCCTACATGAGTCTTCAGAGGGGGAGTAAATGGACTATGAGAGCTGCAGCCTAGTCGGTCCACCCTAGTTTGAATGGACTGGCTGGTGGTAACTGGGCAGCTGGGGTGTGGCTGGGGGAGGTGGGTCACCTACAAGGGGAGCACTGCCCTGGGCCCTTCCCCTCTCCCTGCTTCCTGACTCCGCCGTGAGCTGAGCAGCTTTCCTCTGCCCCTCCCCTCGCCTCAGGCCCAGAGCAGTGGAGTGGGCCGGCCATGGACTGAGGCCCGGCCCCAGATAAACCTTCCTTCCTCCAAGTAGTTCTTTTCAGGTATTTTCGGCACTGCAATGCAAAAGCTGACTGAAACAAGCTGCTGTGATTGAACCCTGGTGGCTGTGTAAGAAGTCAGACAGATACACACACACAAGACCCTCTCTGCCTTGGGAGTCTGCCAGCAAGGTCATTACCAGATGTGGCCCCTTAATCTCACACCTCCAGAGTGGTGAGTCAATGTAAGACTCGTTTCTGTAACTTGCCCAGTCTGTGGAACAGAAAAAGGGGCCACCACAGGATTCAAACCTCTATGTGAATTAAAACACAAGATCACAACATGAAAGCCCGAGTCTGACCTGGTCTCTGCTGTGTGCAGCCACAGGCCATGGGCAGCTCAGCTGTGCCTGCCACACACAGTAGGGAGGCTCGCAGCCCACAGCCGAGGCCAGCTCCACGCTGTAGGAGCATCGCTCATGTGCACAAAGCACTGCTGAGATCAAAGTACGCAGCCAGGCCCTGCTGGAGGACTTGGACCAGGAACAAGGACCACACCTGTGGGGAGGAGGGAGACCCAGATGGCAAGAGGCCCCATGGGGTTTGTAGAATGCTGGTTGCTGTGGGAGCTGCACTGCACCAAGAGGTAGACGGACCTGGTCTTGAGTCCCTGAGGCAGTGAACCATGAATCAGACTTGGAGCTGCAGGTTGTGGAAAAAGTGTTGGGATTCCTAACTGATTGTGCAATGGCTTTCCAAGTGGCTCCGCCTGACCTGACATGTAGGTCAACGTCATCAGTCTGTGTGCTCTGGTGGTGCGGAGCAGAGAAGAGGAGATGGCATCAAGGCAGGCCTAGCAGGTGGCAAGCTGCGGAGTTCACCAGAACCAAGATGAACATATTCTGAGACGACATCTCCAGAAAATAATAATAATGCAGGTGAAAATAATGTGACACTTATTCTAGGAAATGTTCTCTGAACAGGAAACTCCCAGCAGCAAGAGAAGGGGACGTCCAACAGCAGTGGGCTGTGCGGGCTGCTAGGCTTTCTGATTCAAAATCACATCTAATAACTGAAAATCTTCCTTCTTATGAGACCATAACATAAGTGGAAAAAATCTCAAAGTTTATAAAATGAGAGCATTTTATTTTACATGGAGACATCTTGCAAATGACTTGTGCATCCGCTCAGAAACTGATCTAGCAGTTGTGGCTGGGCAGCTTCTGGAGCTATACATCTGGATTTCTCCTGGTGCAGAATAATTCCCAAGTACGGAATCAGTCATGGCATAAAAATATAAACATAATTCAACCACTCACAATTTAACCTCTGCCGAGCCACAAGGGAGAGCAGCAACATGGGATTTCCAGCTACAGATGCTGACTTGTGTCCATTTCGTCTGACTCAATTCAATGGCGAACACGCCTGCTGAACGGTATCAGGAGAGCAGAGTGCAGGCCTGCTCCCAGCAACCTGGCTTCAGAAGTGACTCACAGTGAAGACTGGGGTTATAAGTGTCTCAACAAGCTTTTAAAACAGCAAACCTCTCTGAACCCAGAACTGTTTTTCAATTTCACACGTGCACTTCGATACCCACTTTTCCAAAGTCCCAATGGGAACATTCAGCTGGAGGAGAATGAGCAGATGTATGAGGAACGTGTTTCTCCTTTGGCCTCTGAAATCTGAAGGACTTCAGAAATGTGAGGTGACATCACAACTGTAGATTATTTTGCATACTATGTTTTTCTAAAAACACTAAACAAGTCACAACAAAAATTATTTAGAGTCCTTCAATGCTGCTCCTCCCTCTCCTTTTTCCAAGTTCCATTTTGCTGCCCAGAGTAAACTACATGTGTGTTTTTTTTTTTTTTTTTTTCTGTTTTGATTTTATGGTGCTGGGGATTGAGCCCAGGGCCTCGCACATCAAATATCCACTCTGACACTGACCAAATACCAGCCCCCGCGTGGACCTAGTTGTGCCTTTTGTAACATGCATATTTGCATGCAGTTTGTGTCATTTGGAAAATGCATCCTACCAGGTTATTTTTTTGCTTAAGGGCATAAGAGACTGCCTGTGTGAGCACAAGTGCAGTTCCTGCATTCCTGCCACCGGAGCTGCGAGCATGCCACTGTGGGAAGGCAGTGTGACTGAGGGCCTCCTGTGTGAATTGTTTTCCACACACAAGGCCAGCGCTATTCCAGGGAGAACTTCAGCCAACGCTTGCTTTTCTGACCTAATGTGGTAAGCTCAGGCCTCAGCCACTGCCACATACAATTCCATGACTGGGGCCCTGGAAACAGCCCTCTGGCAGATCAACTCCAGAGCACAAGGGTTCACTCAACTCCCCATTTTTTTCCACACTGTCCAGAATTAGCTACAAGCACATAAAAGCAAATAAATGCAGGTCAAGTTTAGCATCGGATGTACTATTTCAGATCCTAAGAGGTCAAACAGGAGATGGATGCACTGCTCGAGGAACCTGGGAAGCCTGTGGGCATGTGCACAACATGGTGCTTCGTGTGGGACACCCTGGCCAGCTTCTGGAACCTTCTGAAATCAGTCTGTTCCAAACAGTAAAACGGGCAGGGGGTGGGAAAGTTACAGAACATCAAAGGGCAAGTTTAAGTTTGAGGAAATAGGTCAAAGCGGAGCTCTGAGCCGGCTGCTCTGGGAAAGCGGAGGTGACCTGTCTTCTGCGTTGGCTTAGAGTTTGGAGGTTCTTTTTAAAGTTCAAAAGAATTCGGCTTTTTATTATTTTCTTCTAATATGGCCTCATGTGTAGCAACCTCCTACACTGAGCATAACCCACACAATCTCAGAGAACAAATGGATGTTCCCACACGAAAGGGCAAGATGGCGAGTAAGGAGGTCAGGCCGGGCTAGAAGAGAGGAACATGGAGAGGGTCTTCCAACGAGGTTAACTTCCCGATTGACAAAAGTTGGACACAAGCAGGGACCCAATCAGACAGACACTTCTGTACTTGTACTCCTAAGTGTGGGATCCAATAGAAAAATTAGAAAAGATGCAGAGAGGACACCAATGAATAATAGCGAGGAGAGCGTGGACAGGAGGAGATAGGAAAGGAGGAAATTCCAGGGACCATAAAAAGAACAGGCCAAAACATCCCCCACTGGAATCTCAGCTCTGGGGCCCTTCTCTTCAGAGAAGTCTGTTACTGTGGCTTTTACAATAAACCTGTTGCTTGCTATCTTTGTGTCCTGTTCTTCAACTCTTTGCTGAGTAGAGACAATGAACCCAGCACTCCTAGATGGTAGCACCCACAGGGTAGAAAGCGCTCCAGGAACCAAGAGTCGAGAAAGGCAGCGAGCCAACCACAAGGGCTTCACAATCTACTCACTTTTCTATCAAGTCCAGTGTGACTCCAGGCACCAGGCTGACACATTTCTGCATGCAAAACCTGTAGAAAAAGGAAAGAGTGTGAGAGGCATGAATGGAAAATCTCAGGTGCACCATGGCCTTCAGCAGCAGGGGGTTGAAGGCGGGTGGGCACGGCCATGGTAAACAAGCCAGCCCAGCTTCCTTCCTTCCCAAGGCTTCCGGGCTTTTAGACAGAAGAAAGCCTCACTGCCGAAGCGGTGCGCTGTCAGCAGGAAGGCACTGTCTGCAGTCCATGAAGCCTGTCCCTGGAGAGGAGCTCTGAGATGCAGCAGGAACTAAATACGGCAGGATTCGACTAGACTTCCATTTTTTCCCTTAAGAAAGTGAGCTGGGGAGAGTCCTGGAGAAACGAACAAATAACCTCAAGGGACATAAAGGAAGCCAGGGGAAGACAAGCAAACACAAATCCAATTACATCTTTTTAATCACACAAAATCCTAGGTGTCAGGGCCTAGACTTCCTGCCTGCACGCAAACCCCGTCCTCAGGAGCTAGTGCAGAACCAGCAAAGCTTTGTCTCATTTGTGTGTGCTGACAGGAGGCAGGAAACCATCTTTCTTTCCTCCTGCCAGGGCACTGGCACAGAGCAGGACAGAATCGATGGAAACGTCACACAAAGGCAACTTAATGTTTTTAGCACAAGAAATATGAAATGCTTGATTTATCTAGGTTTAAAATTAAGAATAAGTAACCCCTTTCAAAAACTGAGGGTCCCCGACTTATGGGAGTCCAACTTGCAATCTCCTGACTTCGTGACAACATGAGGGCAACAACGCAAGGGTAACAACTGAGGGCAGAAGCTGCACTTTGCGTTCTGATCTCTCCGGAGGGGGAAACAACCAACACTCAGCAGAGTATACTGGCCACACGGCTAAGAGGATGCTCGGGGGCCAGCTGTATTACCTGTGTTTGTCCGCTTGACCATGCTTTGAACTTACAGTGGCTTATTGGGACATTTACAAAATGCACTCCCATGTCTCACTTGTGGACAGTGGGCCCAGGAGAAGGCCAGGACAGGACCAGGCCACAATCAGGGTAGAATTGGAAGTTACCCTTTATAGAAGTGAGAGGACTGGGAGTATACAGACAGCAGTGGGATGAGAGGGCAGAGAAACAAAGAGGAGCAGAAAGACTCAGAACCAGAAAAATAAGACACAGTCATGCAGTGTTTGCTGGGCAAATGGTGCCTCCTCTGTCCACCCTCTTGAATGAGACTGCCCAGGAACCACGGGAACAATGCCTGGCCATGTACTCTGCTCAAGAAGCAAGGCCTGGTTGGCCTGGAGAGAGGTTGTGGCTGCAGCATTCAGTGGGTTACTATTCAAAGAACAAAAGAAGTCAACGCGAAAGCTGTGCTTTCCCGGTGGCAGGTAGCAGACACCTCCTGTGAGCATACAGTCATGGCCGTGATGCTCCATCAGCCGATCAGTACTGTGCAGTCCCTTCTGCTGACTTTCAGAGGGTTCTGCTTGGCCCACTTCCAGGTGCCTTTGCAGCCTCACAGCCAGGGTAGACACACACGGCCCCCACAGTGGCTTTGTGGAGCACAAGATCTCATGGTGGATAAACACGATCCACAGGAAATGCAATCTCAGGCCTGAGCCCTACACAAACCATGCTACTTTGTCGTCTGTCTTTTCATCCATAATGTATTTATCGATTGGGATTTCTAGAGTCCAGTAATGACAGAATCATTTGTATCACACTAATCCTTTTGCCAATAACAATAATGAATTCTGGACAAAATATAAAAAACAACCATTTGAAAATGCCAAAGAACAAACAAACACAGGTAGAACCTGGAAGTGCTGTGACCCTTACAAAGAGGATCTCTCTAGATGAGTCACCCCAGCAGACACTGCGACTCAGGGGCAGCAGGCTGGCTGGGCCAAGGAGCTGGAGGTCAGGAGTTCAGGCTGCCAGGAAATTATAGGGAATAACTTTAGAAAGGAAGGAGCCAAAACACAAGCTTTCTGCAAGGCCTTGGCTGACTCCCAAACCCACGCAGGACAAGACTCCAAGGATTCTACAGCAGACAGCGGGGAAGCTGAAAATGTGGGCGAAGATTTCAGGATCTCCTGCCTCTCAGAAGAAGGGAGGGAGATCAAGTCCTGCCGGGTTAGAAGGCCTTTCCATGGACACACGAAGGGATCAACCCTTAGTTACAAGCCACGTACAGGGTTAAGAGCTGAACATCAAACTAAGAGTGCAGCTGAAGGGAGCAGCTCTGCGAGCAAGCCTCTGCAAAACCAGCTCATCTCCTGAAAGCCCGAGTCCAGCCCTGGGACCAGACCTCTGCAGGTTTACCTCCTGCAGGTGCAGAGCTCAGGGAAGAGAGCACAACCGAGAGCCTGTGATGCCTGGTTTCAGACAGCATGCTATCAGAAACCAACGGAAAAAACAGTTTGTACAAGTGGATTCACAGGTGGCCACATTTCAGAACTGGCAGATGAAGACCTTTTAAAATTATATATATATATAAAATGTTGATTACTGAGAAATTAGCATGATCAAAAAACACTGAAAATATAAATTCTCTGTTTTTTTTGGCCGGGGGTGGGGGCAGTACCGGGGATTGATCTCAGGGTCACTTGACCACTGAGCCATATCCTCAGTCTTATTTTGTGTTTTACTTAGAGACAGGGTCTCCCTGAGTTGCTTAGCACCTCGCTTTTGCTGAGGCTGGCTTTGAACTCACAATCCTCCTGCCTCAGTCTCCCAAGTCATGGGATTACAGGCGTGTGTCAGCATGCATGGCTGTAAATTCTCGTAAATGAGAAATTAAAACAAAGACATCACACACACAACTTTAAACTATATGGTTATTTGACTGAGGGTGGCATGGCCAATTCAATGAAATCTACAAAACTCACTTCTGCCAATAACACCTCTTCTCACTGCATTAGAATTGTAACACCTGTTTTCATTTTTCACACTCCTTCCTTCCCTTGCACAGGAGTATTGCTGGGCAATAAAAGGCTCTGCACAAAAGTAGAGGTAACAACAATGGCTCAAAATACCCACAAACCAGGTTATTAATGATGAAGGAAACAGCTGATTCTTATTAGTTCTTACGACAAGCATTTGCTGTTCTGTGTTTAATTCTCACAACCTTCTGTGAGGGATTCCATCTGTAAATTAGGAACATTAAGTGAAGCTGGGGAATACCAAAGACAGGTGCAGAGGTGGAGGCTGAGGCAGGAGGATGGCTGGGGCCCAGCAGCTCAGGATAGGCATTTGGCAAGAGCCTATCTTAAAAAAAAAAAAAAAAAGTAAAGTATGAAAGAATGGAAAGCTTTCAGAAAGGAAGATCATTTTTCAGGTAAACAAGAGTCAGATTAACATAGGATGCAAGAAGGCAATGGAGGAGTATTTTAATTTACTAAAGAAAAAGAACTTATAACCCAGAATCTCATGTCCAGCCAAACTGATGTTCAGATGTGGGAGCAAGATAAACTATTGTCAAGCACACAGGCTGCAGGGGGCTTCCCATCAAGACCCCAGGGAAGACATCCTGGGACAGCAAGCTCAGGTCAGAGGACAGAGACCTCAGGTGCAGGTCCCATGTGCCAAGAGATGTGAAGAAAAGACGATGTGCAAGTTGGCCTGTTTGCTGTCTTAAAACAAGGTGCATAAAGCAAAGGAGCAGGGGCACCGTCTACCATAACCTGGATTGAAATCCCAGATAACGAAGTGTCCGGTGGGGGATACCAGCAACAGAGGACTACTCTCACCAAGGTGTGTCCACAACCCCTATAATCAACACAAAGAGCACAAAAGGCCAACAGAAAAGTGGCAAAGGACATGAACAGGCATCCCAAAGACAAGGAAGCACATGGCCACTAAACACACAAATGGATGTGCAGCGACACAGACAAGAGAAATGCAAGCCCAGGCCACATGGAGTCTTCTTACACACTGTCAGTCAGCAAGCGCAAAAGCTGAGTGACTCTGTTGGCCCTGGAAAGGATGGTGGTCTGCAGCACGCCTTCAATACTGCCACAAGAGAGGAAGACAGTGCAACCACTCTGCCTTTGTATCCTAAGAGCGAAGATTCCCTTCAACTACAACCTCACGACTCGATTCTTCAGTAGGTAAGAAATTCTAGCACATGTTCAACAGAACATGTGAAAAGAATGCACATGGCAGCAGGCTCCCACCAACAGAAGGAAGACACAGTGCTTAGTGTCCAGCCGTGCCAGGGGAAGCTCATGTCCCTGAGCGAGGATCAGTGCACAGCAGCTGCACACCCAGTCAGAGTGAACACCAGCAATGTAGCTCAGTGAGCACACAGCCTTCACCACACACAGAGTCTGGACAAAGGAACAGTTGCAGTGAGACAGGCACAAGGAACAACACACCCAGCACTCGGGTGGGGAGGGCAGGGCAGGCAGCCTGGGCTCTAATGAGGAGGTACCGCCGAGGTCTGGGTTCAGGGCGGGCAGTGAGCTTGAGGGCGTTTATCAGACGATGAAAATAAGACTTCACTCACTCAACAGCTGGAGTCAGGCCAGCTACAGACGGGAGATGAGCGTGACCTAGAGGACCAGGACAAATCCAGTTGTGTGCATCAACCTTCAGTGACATCAGGAGTGGGAAGGTGCCCAGGGCCAACCTGCAATCTGTGAAACTCTGACCGCTGTACTCTCGCCTCCCTTTTTTGCATTCAGATGATCAAAAATGGCTCTGAGTGTGTCAGTGTATAATCTGTCACAATCATAAAGCTTTTGGCAGCCTAGAACTCAATCTGTGAAGTACGCCATATACAAAGAACACAAGATTTGTGAGTCTGAATTTAGAAAGTTAAGGCCCTATAACCAAGGCCCAGTTAGGAAGGCGGGGGGGGGGGGGGGGGGCGTTCCCAAACCAACAAGGCCTGCGTGTCCTCCCCAAGGCCCTAGCCCTCGCCCTCTACAGAGGTCGCTTCCTTTCCAGGGCGCCGATTTGGACGTACGGTCCACCTTGTCATCAGCCACCTCACATAAATGGATTTATTTTTGTTTTTTGCAAAGTTGCGATT